ATTAACATGATTAACAGTGCTATTATTTTATATGTCTTTTTGGTCCTACTTCATTCCCCCCTTTGAAACTTCACCTTAATTGACAAATTACTGTGCAGTTTCATATTCCTGGTTGGGCCGATAGAGGGGAAGAAGCTCCTCATATGTGTTTGAAGGGTCCTGCGCCCCTAAGGCCATTACCTTTTCAGTAGTTTTCTTTTCAACAAGGAGTGAAAGGCTGCCAGAAATGGTTCGCACAAAGATAGGGAGAATACATGGCAATATTACACATCCTACAGCAATAACCTCTATGAGTGCGACGATGGCCTGTAAGCCAGGTAATTTGGGGAACCAGGAACCAAAAAGTTCACCAAGATCTAGGCCATTCCAGTTTTGGACCGGGACATGAGCCAGAGTTTCAATGCGCCTAGCACATTGTTCGATGATTTCACCCACATCATCGAATTCCAAGCAGCAGTTAGTAAAGTTGAACTTTCCACACACCCCTCCCTCAGCTGCCAACAGATAGTCCAATGCCAAATGGTTTTGATAAATGGCATCTCTAAATTTCTTCTGTTGGGCCGCCAGGGTGCGCAGAGATTGAGCAGTTTCATTGGCGATGAGCTCAACTACAGCCTGAAGCCTAATAATACGATTTAGCATATATATAGGGGTACGGTATCCCCAAGACCTGTCTGCCGCCCACATGGCCAGGTCATAATAATGAATGATCCACTCTGGTGGCCACTCATCATCCTTCCAGTCACTTATCTTATAATCTGCTTTCAGGTTTCTACTCTGCCATTGATTAGAATTCACCGCTTGGGGTATGTTTAATGGCATCATTAAAAAAAAGATGGATTAATAACCCCCAGAGTACAAGCCCCTTTCCAATTAGGGGGAAGGGAGCTATAGGCCACATCTCCACATATCCAATGTACTCCAGGAGGGGCTTCAGTAGCGTTCTCCAGGGAATATTTATCGGCCCAAAAGAGGTTGGTTTTATTAGGCCAGTAGTCCCATGCTTTTGTGGAACAATTCCATTAATGGACCTCCAAACATTCTGTTTCCCCCACCGAGGGACCCTTCCCCTGCGTATTGGCTAGGCACCAATGAGCGACTATGGGGTTAGTTAACTCCCACCGCGAGAGGGGCTGGTGCTTTGGCATCACCGTGAGGTTATAAGCTATGGAATAGTTCCACTCCTGTGCTGCCCATGGCCACTGATCCCCGATTTTGGTTCCCCCACAGATGTAACAGTTAGTGACATTAAAGGTATGAGCTATGGTGGAGGCTAGTTCGAGGAAAAGGTTGCGCGCCTCATGTGAGGGCTGGAATTCTATGTCAACCTCCTGCCAAAATTCAGAGAAGTACCTTGAGTAGGAATTATATGCAAGCTTCCTAGTTTCTATCGACAAATGGATAACGCCCCCTGGGTTCGTTCCTGTAGCATATAACCTGATTCCCAAAGTTGGGCCATATTTAGTAATCCAGGTTAGGGGGTTGGGTATAGTGATGTTAACCCAATTGCAATTGTAAAGTGTACAGTCTTTAGACTGAAGTGCCCGTGATATATGAAGATTGGTTCCCCTACCCGAGGCTGTATACGTGGCCCAAAGGACACAATTCCAGTATGGGCAGTATCTCTCACCGACATTGCTACTGCAATCCCATTTTCCCCTCCCCCCAGGATGTTGATATGGGCAAAGATAAACATCAGATTGGGAGTATGTTCTATGCCAGGACAAGGAAGTCCCACATGACGTGGGCCATTGGGATGTTTTGCAGACATCAAATAAGACAGTGCCTGGGCTATTAGGTGTCAGAATCCATGTTTGAGCAATGATTGGACCGTTGCTATCGCCCCGGCTTCTAACCACCAACCAGGTCTGGGCAGGGTCTACCTTGGGATCGTAACATTCATTCTTTTGCGGACAGATGGAGTACCAGGTCCCATTGTAACAACAGGAGGTCGGAATTTCCACACACGTGTAGTGAGTATGGTATATCAAGGTAGTGCGGATCTCCCTTCCCCTTAATACCATTTTCAGACATACAGTACAGTTGTTAGGACATAATGGGTCTGTGCCATGTGGGACCCGAGCCGATCTAGTGGGGGTTCCCTTTCCTCCCTTATCTGGGCCCTGGGGCTTAGGTGGTTTTGGTGCCTTTGGCAGCGGAACAGTGGGATGGAATTTGGGATTTTTCCAGAGGGGAGTGGGTATGATCTCCACCTCAGAGACCCTGATTACCCATGCATCGCTTTAGGGACTTGTTAATCCTTACTACTCCAGTGCATTTTGTGCCATTACAGCTTGTAGGAGAACTCCAGGTGGTATGGGTGCACTGGGGTAGATTAAAGTCTGTGCAGGTTGGTGGTTTGCCCATTGTGTATCTGAGGCCACCCCGTCCATCCTTACATTCAGGGTGCACGTTACATTTTTGCCCCTCAGTGAGAGTTGTTGATCTATCTCTTGGGGTTGCTGTGTAACACTGCATACCCTGATTTCCGGAACATTTTAGTACCAATGTGTTCTGCATCTGTCCACTGTTCGTGGGTAGCATGTAATAACATGTGGAAGTTATGTTGAAAATTGTACAAGTAGGTGGCATCCCAACATATCCTACCAATATTCCCTTCTCATCTACGCACCCATCACACGCAGGGTCATGCTTGTAAGCTGCCAGCTCATGACCAGGATTGCGGGGGAAACGGGTATGCTTAACCGGGACCCAAGGGGAGCGTAGAAAGTAGCACCTTATCGTATTGTTTTGCATACATTGCCAATTCTTTGTTCCCTGATATTCGCACTGAAGGAGATTAGTGATAGAACAATTAGGGGGCCTATTCTTAGTGTAAGTGAAATGGTTTCCCGTAGGTCGTACCAGAAAGCAATTCAGACATGTTTCAATTTCCCTGACATTCACCATTGGTGGGGGGCCATCCTCAAAGGGGTCTGGTGAGTACCATTTCTCCATTATGTCATCATCAATAGGCAGCGGCTCATCCAAAGCCACTTTTTTTTTGCATCAGTGTTGAATATAAGTACAGTGAGTTGATCGCAACACTTAGCACAAGCAGAATGATCACAACCCAGACAGATGGCATGATCCCCCTGCAGATGCATGCGGTTTCTCTAAGCCTCTGACTGGCCCTAGACCTTAGTCGCCAAGGAAGACCCGTGTGATGGGCGTCAGCTTCCGGAGTAATGCCTACAGGGGTCTGATGGTCTTCGCCTCCCGTAGGTAGAGGGACAGCTTCCGGTGTGTCACCACTAGGGGAGAGCAAGTCCTCTTCATCTCCCGTAGGTAGAGGGACAGCTTCCGGTTTGTCACCACTAGGGGAGATATCCCTGTTTGTCCTTTTCAAGACCACTTTAAGCGGAGAACCCGGTCGGGATTCAGCTTTCCAAAGGGTAGGTGCAGCCAATTTAACCCGGGACCAGTGAATCCATGACTTAATTTCAGCTACCTTAACAGCAAGGGGAGAACACATGACCACAGTATAGGGTCCCTTCCATTTAGGGCTCAACGTCTCCCTCTTCCAATCCTTAACCCAGACTTCCTGCCCTGGATGTATATCATGTGGGGAAGTCACCAGCACATGAGGTTTACACATGAGGACGTATCGTTGTAAGTTTTGGACGACCCCATTCAGGGCAGCAAGTTGTTGTAGTCGAACAGTATCCGATACCCTGGTATCATCATGAATATTGAATCTAACAAGGTTGGGGATCCGGCCATATAGCAATTCAAATGGAGAGACAGAGATGTGTTTACGCGGGGCACAGCGTACAGCTACCAGGGCCAAACTCAGATCATCTGTCCATTTGAGATGGGTTTCCTGACATATCTTAGCCAGTTTGTCCTTGATGGTTCGATTGACTCTTTCCACCCTGCCCCCAGAAGGGGGATGGAAACTGCAATGTAACTTCCATGTAATACCCAATACCCTGGCTAATTGTTGGGTTGCTTTATGGATGAATTCCGGACCATTATCAGAGGAGATCCGAGAGGGCAACCCATACCTAGGGATTACAATATGGAGTAGTGCCAGAGCGACCTCGGTGGCTTTTTTTGTGCGAGTGGGCACACACTCAGGCCACCCCGTATATGTACACACAATAACCAGAAGCGCATTGTACGGGCCACAGCGAGGCATATCAGTGAAGTCAATCATTAATGAATCGAAAGGGTAGCAGCCTCTAGGTTGGTGGCCCGGAGGTGGTTGCGGACCTTGTCTAGGATTGTTAGCCGCACATATTTTGCAACGGGCACAAACGTTGGCTGCTATACTACCGATTTTATCTATATATAATTCCCTCTTCAGCGCCCTCGTTAAGGCGGTCTTCCCTAGGTGTAGTTGCTGATGTACTTGGCGTACAATATCCCAGGCCATGTGAGCGTGGATGTACACCCTATTGTCTGGTAGGACCCACCAATGACCGTCTAGGTGCGCCTCAAGTGCTTCCAGCCGAGCCATGTCATCTCTGGAATAATGAGGTCGTGGATTGGCATCGGGCACCCTTATGTCCAGGTTCTTTTCCACAGGGGCGAAGTCTACCAATGCAGCCTCACGTGCGAATCTGTCAGCACATTCGTTTCCCTTTTGTATGTCCGTGACCACCTTCTGGTGTCCATGGCAATGCATAACCGCCACCTTAGTTGGAGCCCATACACTTTCTAAGAGGCGTAATATTTGGGGACCATATTTAATATCCTTACCCCCTGCGGTGATAAGCCCTCTTTCTTTATACAGGGCTCCATGAACCTGAACTGTGAGGAAGGCATACTTGGAGTCTGTATATATGTTCACCGCCAGTCCCTTAGCTAGTTCTAAGGCTCGTGTGAGTGCATGTAATTCGGCCAATTGTGCACTTGTCCTAGGGGGTAGTGGCCCCGCCTCCCATACATCGTTCAGGGTAACCACTGCATAACCTGTCCTCCTCATTCCCTCCTGTAGGTAACTGGTCCCATCCGTGAATAGGGTGTAGTCCGGGGCGAGGAGAGGTACATCTTTCATGTCAGGGCGACTGGCATATGTTTCCTCAATGGTATGGATGCAATCGTGAATCAGCTCAGTGTTAGGTTCGGGCAATAATGTGGCAGGATTCAAGGTAGTGGATTGGGTAAGAGTGATCATCGGGTTGTGAGTGAGGAGTCCCTGATACTTAAGCATGCGGGGGTTAGTCAACCACAAGTGGCCCTTCATTTCCAATACAGATTTAAGAGCATGAGGGGTACAAATATCCAATTGTTGACCAAAGGTTAGCTTGCTGGCTTCCTGGGTCAAAATGGCAGTCCCAGCCACTGCCTTAAGGCAAGTGGGCCACCGTTTGGCAACGTTGTCAAGCTGCTTAGAAAGATACTCTACAGGGCGGTGCCATGTGCCAATAGTCTGAGTAAGGACTCCCACAGCCACGTTCCCCTTAGTGTCCACAAACAACTGAAATGGTTTCTCCAAATCCGGGAGGCCTAAGCTAGGGGCCTGCAACAGGGCTTGTTTGAGCGACTGGAAGCTGGCCTCCTCTTCAGCGTCCCACTGAAGCGGGTCATTATTGGCCCCTTTGGTAGCCTCATAGAGGGGCTTCGCAATGAGGCTAAAATTGGGGATCCATATACAACAGAAACCAGCCGCTCCCAGAAACCCTCGCAAGTCTCTTCTATTTGTGGGTCTAGGAAGTTGACATATAGCCTCCTTCCGCTCATGGCCTAATGTCCGCTTCCCCTGTTCAATATCATAGCCCAAGTATCTGACCTTCTGTAAGACTAATTGTGCTTTCTTCCTAGATGCCTTGTATCCTAGACTCTGTAAGAGGGAGAGTAGCTCCCTCATATTGTCCCAACAACCTTCCTCAGTGCGGCCCGTCACCAACAAATCATCTACATACTGCAGCACTACGTCAGGGGCTGGTATGTGTAAAGCCTCAAGATCTTTTGCCAATGCAGCACCAAAGAGAGTTGGTGAGTTCTTAAATCCTTGAGGTAGCCTAGTCCAAGTGTACTGTTGCTTCCGACTCGTGATGGGGCTTTCCCATTCAAAAGCAAATAGGTGTTGGCTATTTTCATGTATGGGTATAGTGAAAAAGGCATCCTTCAAATCTATGACCGAAAACCACTGGGCGGCTTGGGGAATCAGGCCTAATATTACATAAGGGTTGGGGACCACCGGATGGATGGTTACTGTGGCCAAATTGACGGGCCTCAAATCCTGAACCGGGCGGAAGCGGCCATCCCCTTTCGGGATGGGCAATATCGGGGTATTCCAGGGCGACTCCGTGGGCACTAGGATATGATGTTCCAGGTATAGATCAATAATATCTTGAATGGCTTGCAATGATATGGCGGGGGTATGCCCTCTGTCGGATCCTTACAGGCGCCTTCATCGGCACTTCCTCGACTAAGATAGGCGGATGGTGAGCCGCAAAGCCGGGGGGGTTATCCTCCGCCCACAAATGAGGAACTTCAAACTGTCTCCATTTCTCCTCATCACCACACCCGAGATCTCTAGCTACCATAAGTCACCATGATTCCTCTAGAGGTACGGACACACTTAATTTTCCATATCCCAAATTCATAGAGCCATCCTCATTAAAAGATATCTGAGCCCGCATCTTGCAGAGTAAATCCCTTCCCAATAGCGGGACTGGGCAGTCGGGCATGTATACGAACTGGTGCGTTATTGCCTGTCCCTTTAAGGTACACTCAAGGGGTTCCAGAAAGGGTCGTTGCAATGTACCCCCGGTTGCCCCCTGGATATTAATGGTCTCGCGGAATGCTTGGGCTAAAGGTTGGGTGAGGACCGACCTGGTGGCTCCGGTATCTACCAAAAAGGTAACTGGTTTGCCTCCAACATTTAGGCTGACCATGGGTTCCGGGAGGCTTTCTGAACCCGGTTGTCCTCAATCCCATTCCTCCACCTGTGCCAAACCCACTAAAGGGGGTCTACCCAGGCCCCTCCTACCTTCCGGTCTTCCCCGGCCTCTTTACGCTAGTCTCCGCTGGCCATCTTCCACCACAAAACTAAGATTCCGTGGGGGCCCTCCCCTTCCTCCATGCCCCTCCTTGCTATTTCTTTCGGGGCACTCCCCTTTCCAGTGTCCTTGCTTCTTACAAAAAGCACACTGATTAGGGCCAAGTTCCCATCTGCCCCCCCCTTTGCAGACTACCCCCCCTGCCCCTCTGTGGACCAGACCCTGCGCCACGTGGCGGGTTGGCCCGTCCTCTTGGTGCCCACATCATGGATGCCGCCATTAATTCAGCCTTCCGCTGCATCTTCTGGTCCTTTTTCCTATCTTCCTCTTTGTCCCTGTTTGCAAAAACCTTTCGGGCCACTTCCATCAGCTCACTCATGGGCTTCCCCAGAGCTCCTTCGAGTCGTTGTAATTTGCGTCTTATGTCCAAGGCACTCTGAGAGATGAATGCCATCGTCAGCATCTGAGCATTCTCCGGGGCTGAGGGGTCTATGGAGGTGTACATGCGGTATGCATCAATGAGACAGGTGAAAAATGCCTCCGGGCTTTCAGTAGGTTCTTGCAATACTAGAGAGGGCTTTGACATATTGATTACAGGTTTCCCTGCGAGGCAAATAGCTCGCACCAGGAGAGACTGATAGTCCCTCAGCCATTCCTTTCCTCCATCGCTATACAAATCCCAGTCCGGGTTACTGGACGGGTATTTTACTCTCAGAAGATCTTCCATGGAGTTATATAGTTGAACATCAGGCTTCAATATTTCAGTGACTGCATTCCTAATTTTCTCCCTTTCCTCGGGACTAAACAATATCCCCATGAGTTGTTGGATATCTAGCCAACTGGGATTATGTGCATCCATTATTGTTTTTACCAGATCTGCCACTTCTGTGGGTTTTTCACTGAACGGACCGTAGTGCAGTTTCCAATTCAGTAAGTCTGAAGAGGTAAAGGGTACATGTTGGAACAGGGAGAGTGTGACCGATTCAGATGGGTTCTTGGGGTTGATTGCCAATTGGTCCACCTGCCTCAAGGGGGCTACCAGGGAAGGCTGTTCCGTTTTAGCCCTAGTCCTAGCCGCGACTGGTTCGGTCATAGATGAAGTTCCTGGACCTGCCAAATCTTGGTCCAGGGAGCTTGGGCTGGGTGCGGATGGGATGGGGTCAGGCCGGTCCTCTACTGGTGTAGAGGCTGCCCGATGAGATCGGTCAGCCTGGACGGACCGATCTGTCCTCGAGGGTTTTGACAGGCTTTTCACATAGGGGGATAACTGGTCCAACCGAGCCATGAAGCCAGATACCCCTGACGACTCCTCGCCCTCCGACCCACTATCAAACCCACCCGGTGGCACATACGGTGGAGGATGGGGCCCTTCCTCCAGGCAGCTAGGCAGCACCTGTGTGGTCTTTCACAACTTTTTTAGAGTAACGTTTTGTGACAACAGAGCCTTGCACCGTTGCATCTTGAGCTTCCTCATCCAAGGGGGGGTGATTCAAGAGGTCTAGCCACACGTCTATGTATGATGCCTGATCTGGATGTCCCAAGGTAGGGTGGAAGACTAGGCGGTGTACCTGTACTGCAGTGGGGATGTCAAGTGTACCTATTGGGGGCCACCCAAACCCAAATGTGGGCCAGTCTGTCTCACAAAACTTCCGTAATTTCAGCCTGCTCCACTTATACCCGTAATCCTGTGACTGGTATGCCTCTTTGAAATGTTTTAGCATAACCTCTAGTGGGGTCACAGGTTTGCTCTCTCCACCACCCATGAACCACCCATATAACCAGACAAGATATAAGCGGAAAGGGGTTGAAGAGGAGGGTATGGGGTCCCTCCTTCTCCGGACACAATAAGGAGTCACACACACTCACGCCCGACCCAGGGAGCTGGATGCACACGGTCTCCGATGGGAACTGCGGACGCCACTCGCTTTCTACTGACCCACGGCACTGGACACTCACAGTCACCGATGGGAACTGCAGTAGCCTTTCTTCACAATCGGACTTGACAATTCCGCCCACCTTACCTTTCAAGAGAGGGTGATCAGTCCTCTCCTCCGTCCCTGTTTACAAGGAGGGATTATTTCCCCAGTCCAATACTTGCCTGCAGGCGTCTTCCTTCTTCACAGCTGGCCAGCCCCAGTCCTGTTCTTCTCACCTTTCACCAGTGGTTCTTGGAGGTGTCGATCGCTGACGCCAGGAAACAGAAGTTTGAGGAAGTCCCTCAGATTGAAGGGTCCGGTGGCACCTGGGATGTTCCCCGCAACTCACCGATACGCTGGCAGTCGGGATGGACCCCCCAGAGGGCCTCAGGGCCCCTTCAGTCCTGCCGCGGTCACCATTAAATGTAGCAGCAAATCGTGTTTCCAAAACAGGACTCAAGACCACGAA